GCCCGGCTGGGAGGCCCTCGCGTCGGCCGGGAGGGGGGCGCAGCGGACTTCGTAGACGACGCCGGTGTGGCGGTCCTGCGCGGCGAAGCGGGGGCCGTTGCGGCTGTCGTAGGCCTCACTCACGCAGGCGTGAAGGCGGAGGAGGGGGAAGACGTCCTCGTCGAGAGGGGTAGGGAGGGTGAGGGAAGTGGCAAGGAGGTCCACCTTCGCGGGCCCAGGCGGCCCCCCGCTCTTTTCGGGCATGGCAAGCAGGGAGAGGGGGAATGCAAGGAAAGCCCGTATGGCTAGTATGACTAAGAAACAAGGAGAGGGTGAGGGGACATGAAGAAGCCATAAATATCGACTCAAATGAGAAAGCATGAGGAATGACCATATGGAAGCAAAGCTTCTATAAATCGGTATATGGATTTATTGACTTGCCCCCCATTTCGCAAGTTTTCACTTGATTTGCATTGCAAATTAATCTCTAGATAATAGTATACATTTCAGATAGCAGAAATCAAAAACCAAGACTTATGGTAATGCAAAAGCGAATCCGTCGGTAAAAACGCCCAAGAGACATGCCCTTGAGGAACACTAGAGATAAATTTTGGAGTAAGCAAAAAAAGAAAGATTTTAAAATACCCCCTGAAAGTGCTAAATGATTAATAGGATGCGAATCAGCCCTAACAACAGTCACATTCCTTTGAAACAATAATATTAACGGATAAATAGACGTGACCGTTGAAATTTAATAATTCGGATTCTAAAACAATATGCAAAGGTGAGAATGACTACACCTGATAGCTCCTATCAGATGCTAGTTGCTCCATGCAAACTAGCGTAACAATAAGCAAATGGGAGCTTTCATTTTTTCATCAAGAGTAACTCCTCGATGACGAAGAAGGACACTATTAGTAGCCAAAGATATATCACACGAATATTCTCGGACAGCCGAGCATGTGATACACTTTCTTTGTTCGAAAATGGAGGGAACATATCCCAAGACTTTTTGGCAACCTAATATTTCTGCAGCTACCCCTCTTGAAGCCTAAATATGATCCTTAACCCTATCATACTATATAGAGCCCTTTAAAATTTTGCTCCGAAACCTTGTTGAGCACTTCTAAATTCTAATTCAATTCGAGATAAGAAAAACGTACAAGGTCAGTCATAAAACAGCAGACCCATCAAAATTAAGATATAATCAACAAAAAATGCATACTAAGAATGGGAAAGTCGAAAAATTTGCATTTTTTGCCTTAAACGTTGGAGATTTTTGTATAATGTAGTACATTTACTCAGATACCTTCCCCTAGCCTACTTTGACTCCTTTTTCACAAATGTTGCATATTTCAACGAATAAACATTTCTAGGCTTCAAAATTGGTACTATTCATAATGAAATAATACAACCATGTGAAGCTTAAATCCCACAGACAGGGTAGGAAACCCAAGCAATGTAAGCCCAAAATAAAAAAAATTACTCAGAAAGAAGAGCGACCATGGAGCAAAATAGCTTACCATGCGGTTTCATATTGCTAAATTTTTTCACTGAATATCTCTGTCTTCCGTTTATTCCTTTCGATATGATATCTATGTGCATGTTCCTCCATGCTTCTTTTGATGTGCAGTTGATGCGTTAAATTTAAGAGGATAAAGTAGCTTTTTTTTGTGCAGAAATAGGGAAAGACGTAGGCTTGGATTAATAAAAATAAAAAGCACATGTCATAAGTACACATGAATCTATATATGTACCCTAGGAAGTCAATTTGCACCAAAGGGAAGTTTTTTACCTATCCTGACATAATTTTCCATTCCCTTACACTAATTTTTTGTTTTTGTTTGGGGAAAGGGAAGAGAGAGGGTAACCTTTCAAATACACAATTATATTATTTGAATTTCGAATCACTTGTAATCTCAAAGAATTATCAGCATAGATTCACAACAACAAAAAAATAATAGTAATAATAATAGAGAGACAAAGGCAAAATCGATTCGGAAAAGGGGAGAGTAGCAAGCAGCAATGATCAGATTTTTACTTGACATTACTATAGCTAAATCTAGCGCAAGGAAAAGATTTTTGCCAAAATACATAATAAATTATTATTTTTCGAACAAAAAAATTATTTACCGAGTTGGGTTAAACTATATAGGTTTTGTTTGTGCATTAACAGAACCCTAGGGATTTCATGGGCACAGAAAAATGTTCGTAATAAAAATACAGCTACGATTCGTAATGTCATTTTTGAAAAAAAGATGAAATGCTAAACACTGAGAATTCTTCGATGACAATATCCCTGCGTGATAAAAAAAATGGAAGAGATACACATCCTTGCAATTAAAGCAATTCACTAATTTGTAGACAGAACGCCGTACTATATAAAAGAGCCTTTTCAGCAGCAACAACAACAACAACTAAAAAGAAAAAACAGCAATAAAGGATACAATTTTTGAAGCCTACGCAAAGAACTAGAATTCTAAAATCATTATGCAGTAGGTTGAAGGAAAACTTAGCGGGTATATATTCCCCTACAAAAGGCAATAGGAAAGCCTCATTTAGCCTCAAAAAAAAATATGAGATGCAGATATAGAACGAAAATGAAGAATCCTATTAAGCATAACCATTTCAACTACTACCATCTATATGGTAAACCTCCCTCAAAATGAGGTATCTCAGTGGATCCCACCGATGTGCGGCATAGAAGAGTATATCAGAGACTCCCGACAACGAATCGGCCTCAGCGCGATCGCCTCGAGCAGGGGAAAGGGCTGATCCCAAGTGCCATCCGCGCCCTCCTCGCCGCTTACCGACGACGCGAGCGACACCAAATTGGACGACACCGCCCCGCACTTGGGGCCCGCCCGCGGGGAATGAAACAACGAGCGACGCCAATCTACAAAACGAATCTTCGAGTTCGCCCCCGAGGACGATTCGGGCGACCGCAAAGGAAACGAAGGACAACGGAGGTGCACGAGGCCATCTCGCTTGGACGCCAAGTCCTCCTCGCGCACCGCGCAAGACAAAAGGAGAGGTAGATAATACACATAATAAGTATTACTGATGCAAAACGGCATCGTCGTGTTGTCACCATCCTTGCCGAACACCTGAATCATCGTCGGCGACACCACAGCGGAGGTGGGAGAGACGTAGATCGGAGTGAAATAGCATTTTATATAATTGTACAGGGAGTAAAAAAGCACCTCTGTGTATATTTTTTTGCTTTCCTCCTTAAATTTTACAGTAAGGGCCTTGTAAAGCGTGATGAGCTCTGCGCGCTGGGAGGTGCTTAGATAATCATTAACTAAGGGGTACACTCCTAAAACCTTTAGGGCGATTTCAATTGGCATCACCTTGGTGGTGGGCCCGCGCGTCGCGCCGCGGGATTCGACATCGGAGTCGACATTCGCGTTGCTGACGAAGTTCTCGATCCCGGCCTGCGCTTTATCAGTAAAGGTTTCTAGGAAAATAGGGGAGACCTTCGAGATACCTTGAGATTGAAGTAACTCCTTTGACTTCTGAAGGTTTGAACCATCAGCATCGCTGCTTGTGTGCTTGCATAAGTTCAAATGGTAAGAAATCAGGCGACGATGTGTGCTAACGACCATAAAGAAAAGTCTGGTCGTCATATTCATCATCTCTAATGAGCTCATATCCTTCAGATTAGGAGCCTTAGCATAAATCATTTCCCTAACGTGTTGAAGCCCCTCCTTGTGCTTCTCCTCCAAACGCGAGAAGAGCGTGCTACGTTTTTGGCAGTACTCAGAACAATATAGCCCAGTGGGTTTGGAGGTAGTCGCGGGAAGAGCTTCAAACGAATCGCCATGATTGGTAGCAGCGGCGTCATTTTCGAACTTCAGCTCGCTTACAGGAGAGGAGGTGTAGTTTGTCTGGACCGAAGTGAACGTATTCACACTTGCATCATCCATCTCTTCGCCTCCGTCGCGGAAACAAACTTCACACCGCCCGCTGAATCGGTTCCCAAAGAGTGAAGGCATCGCCAAAATCGGCGTATTCTCCCAGCAAAGCAGCCGATTTTGTGAAATTGACTGAGACTGAACGATCATCCGCTTGCAATACATTGAGTCTAGAGTTATTAAAACTTTGCCGTTGCTGACCTTTTGCATTAATTTCTGCACTTTTATCATGTAAGAATTAAGGTCCTTAATTCGCTCTAGCTCTGCACTGTTGGGCAACAAAACGGATGCTTTGCGAAGAGCCGCAGCGGCCTCATTGAAGTTGCCCAGACCGCTGTGCGCGCGCGCCATGCACAAATATCCACGAACCCATCGGGGCTCCACTTCAGCACAGCAGACGGCATCCACTAAAGCGTCCTCGTAACGACCTAAAAAAATTAAAATCTGAGAGCGCAGCGTTAAGGCGTCGACGTCCGGTGGCATTCCAGGGGTTCGTGCGGAAAGCTGCCGGTTCACCAGCTCCAGGGCAGTGGCGAAATCCTCTCGCTGAAAGCACTCCTGAGCTTCCCCGAGATCCTCAAGACGCTCCGTTGGCACTCTCAGCACCGACAAACATTCGTAGAACTGATGGTGCGTCTTGGAATGGCTATTCTCAAGCGACATCGAGTCCGAGCAGGCCATCCGCTGCCTCGTTTTACAGCAGCAGGAGCTAAACACTCCCTTCTCCACCGACTGCGAGTTTTCATACGGCTCAATGTTCTTTATCGACAAACACGACCGTGGCAGGGTGAGGGATAGGCTCATATCGGAGGCGTCATCGTGGAAGCGCACAATGGTCATGCGTCCGCTATGACGTACCACCCTCCCGCCTAGTCTGCCGTTGCAGACCAACTTATACGCATTACACCACGCGGCAGGGAGAAACATCTCAACATCTTCCTCGTCCACCACCCAGACAGGTTTGCCTGGCGGGAGCTGTTCAATCGTGTGGTAGGGCATGACTGGCTTTTTAACCCGAGAAGAGAGCTGAATAATCGGCTCCGGTATGAACATGCTATCCTCCCCATTTTCATCCGAGGAGGATGAAAAAATAGACTGGGGATTCGCGTTATAGGTTCGCTGACACATGCTATCACAAGAGGAAGAGGAGGAAGAAGAATACCGGCGGAACATACTATTCGAGCTGCCCAAAAGATCAGAACTGTGTTGACTACTTTTAGTGTTACGAGGAGACCCACCCACAGTGGCTTTGATGCCCTTAATATCCCTTCTATCACGCGCCTCTACATACGTCTCTCCAAAGGCGTCTCTAGGTGTTGCAGATCTTGAATTTTGATCGTTGAAAAGTGCTTCTTCACCTGCAGTATGGTGAATATTCAGGCAAACACTAGGATTGCAGGACATATCGCAAATCCTTTTGGTGCCACGACTACTAGTACATTTACTACGCTCATTCTCAACAGGATCGTCCTGGTATAACTCGAAACTATTTGTGCGATGAACTTCTCTCAAATCTGGGGAAATAGGTATGGATGCATGAGGCTTGTTCGTAATCTTGGGAGAACCTGAAGACGCCAGCAGAGGATCGCATACCCTTTGTTCACGCATGCGTAAAATAAAATAATTTAGAAGGATTATACAAATGATATTTTAAAAAATATAGGGGAGCCCTTCCTAAATCAAGGAGAAACGTGTAGATATCGCCGTTTTCGTTATATCAATAATATGATGGTGATAGACGACAATAGATATGACAAGCAGCAAGATTTGTGCAGTATAGTAAGCTAGCAGTGTAGGAAAAAAAAGCCTATATCCTAATGTAAAGAGGAGTAAAACCTTGTCAGGCAGGGCCTTATAGTAGAAAATAAGAAAAACTGGAATATGGAAAAAGGGAGATAAAGAGAAGAGACAATAGCATTTCTCATTTTTAAGAAAAATGAAACTAAACGAACGGGACCCGTGCGTGTATAATACCAAAAAGTTTTAAAAACATCATCCCTTCCATTTGCAGCAGGAAGGTAATACCGCGATAAAAAAAGAGGAAAAAGACCCCCCAAAATAAAAAGGAAGAACAAAGCGTAAGGAGCAAATCAACGCATAAACGTAAACATACAGAAATAGTAATATTCTGATCCTAACCCAATCACCAACTTCAATTCTCAAACACCCGATATGACGTGAAAATGACTATTTGGCGGGCGCACAGCGTGGAAGTAGACCTCCGGAGCGGAGGTCTGAATGGGATCCGCCGCCGTCCTCCCCTTGCTAGCAGCTAAAAAGATAATAGCCGCCGCGGCGACAGACAGCTCTACTCCATCTTTGTATTTCTCATAGGGCCACGCCATTTGAGCCCTCTGCGCCTCAAGATCATCATAGAAAATCGTTCGATTTCTTTGATGCTTTGTGCGTGCAAAGGTCTTTTCACACATAATATATACCACGACGAGCAACGCACATAAGTAAAGCACGACTAGCCGTGGATTTCGCGTTGGCAAATCCGCACTATCGGTAAGACGATCAGCCGCACGCTGGAATGCCGTCTTCTCGTTTTGTTCCTTTTCCTTCTCAATCGCACGCCGACGCATCTCCTCAAAGATGTTTGCATCGGTGCCGAATGACCTATAGCGAGGTTGCTCCGCCTTGTATAGGGGCCGATCCAGCTCAACCCAGCTGTGGTCATCGCGATTTTGGTAGAGATACTTCCCCGAGGCGGTGCACCGCTCCGTGGTGGGATCGAGCGCGCTGAGCTTTGCTACCTCCTCATCCGAAAGCACGCCGCCATCGGAATTTGTTGCCCTTTCAAAGGTGGAGGACGCAGCGCCCCCTTCCGCCTGCTGCTCCGCGGTATACGGCGCCCCCATCGCGGCGGCACGGCGGCGACGCTCCTCCGATGGGATCCCTGCTGCCCTCCCACCACCGGTCGAATTCGCGGGCAGGTGAAGCCGCTCGAACCCCCCCTCCTTCATGAGCAGCTTATACGCCTGGTTGATCTCCTCCATCTTTTTGCTGTCACCGGTTTCGGAATCGGGATGGTACACGCGCGCGAGCTCACGGTACTTCATTTTCACATCTACTTTGGTAACCGATCGGTTAAGCCCGAGCACCTTGAAGGGGTCCCTACTCGGGGCAAGGAGCCATCGCCGACGATACAAAGCGAACATGCAGGGGCTCTAATCGAAAGTCAATATGACTGTACCGCCACCCTTTTTTTTTTTGAAGAGTAAGGTTAGAGTAAAGTGGTAGATAGGCACAAAACATACGGTAACTAAGATAAATATCGCAAAAAAAAGAATTACCGGAAGAATCATGCAAGTTTTCCGTAATATTTGATAGTTATAAAGACAATGCATTGGAGAACGCTTTGTTCTTCATAAACGATTTTAAGCATTTGAAAAAAATAGGAGGTTGCTTGAAATAATTAAAAGAATTTGGCAATGATATACACAAGAAGTTGGAGCTTTTGAACTAAATTTGTCAATGTTTCACAGCCCTGGCAGCAGCAGCCTGCTGGTACTCAATGCGCCTGCACTCCATCACCGCCTTCTGGAGCATAGCGTTACGGGCCTTGATGTTTTCAAGGGATGCATTAGAGTTTGCCAACCCTTTACGAAGATCCATAACGAGGGAGTTAATCCTATCGCGATCTTTTTGATCGACATACTTCCACAGAGCCATCTGGTCTAAGGCAAAAGCAATATTAAGTTCAGAACTATTGCGCTCTTCAGCAAGTTGTCGCCTTGCGCGATCATGCGCCGCATACCGCTCCGCTTTAGATATCATCTGCTCGATCTGCTCCTTCGTAAGCCCGCCGTTCGCCGTGATCGTGATGTTCTGCGTCTTCCCGGTCGCCTTGTCTTTAGCCGTCACGTGGCAGATGCCGTTCGCGTCGATATCGAACGTCACCTCGATCTGAGGGACGCCACGCGGGGCGGGCGGGATCCCGACGAGGTCGAACTGCCCCATCAGCTGGTTATCCGACGCCATCTCGCGCTCGCCCTGGAAGATCGAAAACGTAATATCAGTTTGACCATCTTTAACAGTAGAGAAAACTTTGGTATTCTTCGTCGGGATCCTCGTGTTTTTCAGTATTACAGGGACAAAAATATCACCTACAATACTGATTCCAAGAGAAAGAGGGATAACCTCGAGAAGAAT